CTGATTTCATTTAGTTTTCTCCACACCTTCACTAACACTTTAATCTCTTGTGTTTTCCTAACCATTCCGACAGGAATAGGGTAATACCTCCTTCTGGTTTTGATTTGAATTTGTCTGATGATTAGTGATGTTAAGCACCTTTTCACATACCTGTCGGTCATTTGCATGTCTTTTTTGGAAAAACGTGTATTCCGGTCCTTTGCCCATTGTTTAATTGGGAGATATATATACGTGGTTTTATATTTATCTTGCTATTGAGTTGTATTAGTTCCTTATATATTTTGGATATGAACATCTATTCAGATGATAAATTTAAATTCAACTATAGCAGTGTCCATATGTGCTTGAGTAGAATATGTATTCTGTACTTGTTGAGTGAAGTATTCCCCAATTGACAGATTACGTTTGTTAATAGTATTGTACAAATTTTCTTTACCCTTCTTTTTTTGGGTCTCCTTTTTCTATTAATTACTGAGGAGTGTTAAATTGTCCAAGTATGATTGTAGATTTGTCTGTTACTCCTTTTGGCTCTCTCAAGTTTTGAATTATTTACTTTAAATATATCTTTTGAAGTTCATACACAGGATTGTTATATCTTGTTATAGTCATCCTTTTAACTTTATGAAGTGTCCGTCTTTATCTGTGTTAAAAATGAAAATAATCTTAATACCTACTTTGCCTACTATTAATATAGCCATAACTTTTCTGGTATGCATTTGTGTCTTCTATTACTTACAACCTTTACTTCTTTTTTTCACATAGTATTTTCAAGTAATTTTAACATTAAGGAAAAATTTTGAGAATGTTATGATGACCTGAATACCCTTTTCCCAAATTAACCAGTTTTTGAAAATTTGCCATATTTGCTTTATTGCTTCCTCCCTCCCTCCTTGTATGTCTCTCTGTATTTGTGTGTGGATAGTACTATAAGCCCTTATGATTTATAATAATTTTGATTAAATGGTTAAGATGTCATCTATTTTCTCTGTATAGTTATCATCATCATTTTTTCTTCTGTAAAAAGTAATGTTTGTGTTGAAATACTTTGAGACTGTGTATTTATTCTGTTAGTTATCAGATGTCCCTCACTTCTCTCCACCTTATAGTATTCATTAACGAGTCTTACCTGAATCAGTTTTTTCTCTGATGATCATTAATTTATGCTTTTTAATTTCTTGTGTATGTATTACTTGGCCTTCTGTGTTAAGGAGTCCTTGCCCATCTGCCGCTATCTATCTATCTGTCGTCTACCTATCATTATATCAGACTCATGGATTCTTTCTTCATTCAACTGGGTCATTCATTTACCAGCCTTATTGATTTTGATGCTCAGATTGTCCCAGATGCAGCTAGTGCGCACCCCTTCATGCTGGTTCCTGGGCCTTGCTGATGCACTCTCCTCACTTTTGGGGACGTTTCCCTACTTAACCATGATAGGAAGCTCTGTTCTTTTTAGTGCTGAACCGAGACCCCTTGCAAAATTTGCAAGATTTCTCTCTGATTTCTTGCATGACTACTGCCATTTTTTTATGGGACAGATTTCTAAGGGGGAGTATATTTATTTCAGTATATTTATTTTTGTTTGGGGTCTCTTCCAAGATTCCAATCTGTAATAGCTGCCCACACTGTAAAAGGTTTGGCTGATTTCTTTTCGTCCCACCAAAGCCTCTCGGCCTATGACTGTTTTACTCCCTCATCTATCTGTACCCAGATGAGACAGTTGACCGTAGATATGAGAATGGCTGCTACTCTTTGCTCACCTTTCAAGGGCTTGTCCTAGTATGAAGTTTAATTCAGTTATACATTTTTTTGTGTTCATTATACTTTGTTAACATTAAAGGAAAATATAGCTTATAGCTTGGACCTAGCTTTCTTATGGTTTTGAAGGTTGTGATAGTGTTTCTTTTTCTTTTTTTTTTAACATTTTTTATTGAGTTATAATCATTTTACAATGTTGTGTCAAATTCCAGTGTAGAACACAATTTTTCAGTTATACATGAACATCCAGAAGGAACCCTACTTCAAAATGACACTTGCACCCCAATGTTCATAGCACCACTATTTACAATAGCCAAGACATGGAAACAGCCTAAATGTCCATCAACAGATGTGATAGTGTTTCTTGATCTTCTACATCATATCTAAGAGTGAAACCTCTGTGAGATCTCCTTAAAGCACAGTAGAGTTATATAATAAGTGTAGATGCCATAAGAGTGATTAATATCGGGGTGCCAGATTATTTTGGGCATTTGTGTTAATCATACCATGTAATTATGAGTTCAATATATGAAAGTAGGAACTACAACTATTTCTTCTCCGTTGTAATTTCAATATTCCACCAACAATGCCCAGCACTTTATATATTTTTGGAAAGATGTATTTAAATTCAATAATATTTTTGGAAAAGGTGACAGTGGACCAGAGGTTATTGGTCAATTAAATATACCCTTACGTGAAATCTGTAAAAACATTTTGATATATCTTTTTTTCCTAACTGAATTTCCTATCTGAATTCCTTGCATTCTGTAGTCTTATTTCAAATATTTTTCTCTTCCATGTAGCATGGCAATGTAGTTTGCCTATACATATTTAGAATGTTAAGATTTTTAATCAGACTATACCAAGCCTCTTATTTTATTCTGTAGGAAGAGAAATCCATGAGATGAAATTTGTGGCCATTGTCCCCAAACAATAAATTATTGAAAAAGAAGTGTTTATAAATCCTTATTTATAGTTATTTCTTGATAAAGAAGTATCATTACAATAGTAACTTTATCATTGAAGAAATGTTTGTCTCAGAAGGATATCTTTTATAGTAAGCCATTTTGAATGATGTTTTCAGGGGCTTATGAAGGATGTGGAGGCCCAGAATTTAATTTGTTGATTGCAAGACTTTTTAACTTTGCATACAAAGATAACTTTGGAATAATTTCCTTATGCCTAGTTTCCTTTACTGAATAGAATCATTGATCACTTTTGGAATAGTAAGGATTATACAATATTTATGCAGAATTAAACTACTGATTTAATTAAACCAGTGGGGAGAAGGAAGGGTGGGGACGAGATAGGGGTAGGGGATGAAGAGGTACAAACTACTATGTATAAAATAAATAAGCTACAAGGATATATTGTGCAGTACAGGAAATATAGCCAATATTTTATAACTTTAAATGGAGTACAATATTTAAAATTTTTGATTCATTATGTTGTGCACCTGAAAGTAATAAAATATTGTAAATCAACTATTCCTCAATAAAACAAGTCCAAAAAAACCAATATTGGCTTGAAACCTTTATTTTGGAGTAAGAGCTAAGTAGACATTATATGAAAGATGATGATATCGGAGCAGAAATATCTTTTTTTAGGGACTTTTATCAACGAATTATGCAGGGAGTCTACTGAGAGATCAGGTTGAAAAATTATAAATATTAATCTCTGAAAGAACTTGGAAGTATCAGAGAAATAATGGTTTCAGGATGTGGAATTATATTAGAGAATCTTTATCTACCCTAAGAGGCAGTATAGCCATGTGTTTGAATGCTACAGTCTTTAGAGCTGGACTGCTTCTATTGAAATCTGTTATTATTATTATTATTATTATTATTATTATTATTATTATTATTATTATTATTTTATTATTTGCTGTGTACTCACTGTGTGACCTTGAGCAAGCTATTTGACTTCTCTTTGCCTTTATTTCCTCATCTGTGAAGTAGAGATAATGAGAAAAACTACTTCCTGTGGTTATTGTGACGCTTAAGTGAATTTTGATACATTAAAATACTTAGAATAATTTCTGGTATACAATAAATATTATTTCCTGCTGTTATTATTATGATGGTGATGATTATTATTACTGCTACTATTACTATTATTATAAGTACCACTGACACCTTGTTTGTATGCAAAATAATTCTCCTACCTGGTATGACCGACTCTTGACACTTCCTTTTCAGCTCAACTGAAGTTGATGACATGATTCGTAAATCTACAAACCTGTTGCTAACTAGGACTCTGAGCAACTCTCTGCAGAATGTCATTAAAAGGAAGAATATTGGACTTACTGAGGTAAAGCTGCTCTTACTGGAGGCAGCTAAGGCAGTATGTGAGCAGATGTCCTAAGCTCTAAAGCTTGTGTGTGAATTGATGATAACTTTCTATGTGGTCTATCGTGTTCTCCCTTGATGGACCATTGGTGAAATTGCAAAGTAAATCCCTTGTGTTTTTCTTTCCTCACCTTGGAGGAATCCATTATTTTTTTGGAAAGGTCACTTTTTTTCTCTCATTGTTTTCACTAGCTGAACTGGGTTTCCATTTGGAAGTGGTTGGGTTGAATTTGTGTTATCTGCCACTGATTAAGTAAAAGAAATGTTGGTTGGGGAATATAGTCAACATCAGGGCTGTATCCAAATGAATGGCAGTTCAAATACAACATACAGTACCCATTTTGCCAGCATGTCATTGATACCAAGGATATTGGCACTCAGACTCCTTGGTTAGAGTTAGACTCAGATTTTGTTTCTGAGATACATCAAGTGTATGAATTGTAAATTTTTCTTTATTAGCATGTAAGCCTGGGGATTTGGGATTGAGGAAACCTGAAAGAAAGGCAAACATCACATTTCTGTGGAAGCTTCTACAGTCTCACAAAGGGTGGAGGTATACCGTACATATGTTGAGAACAGTATCTTGGCAAACTGAAGATTTGGCGCATTGGCGTGAAGTCCTAAAATTTAGAACGATGTGAAGTTTCCTTTCTCTTAGAAACCCAGGTTGTGTGGGAGCCTCAACCTGCCACTTTATGGAAATTAGGGTGCCAAAAGTGAGAGCCTGGAGGAATTTTTTTCACAGGTAAAGGGCAAGGCTGTTGGCCATCTGTTTTGCCTATAAGAGGTAGTGTCATTTCAAAGTCAGTTGGTCTAGGAAAAACTGACATTTTTAGATCTCCATTGTCAAGGACTGTAATGAAAGGCAGTAAGTGGTTAATGATACTGACCCATAGGTAAAGACAGGTGGAAGCCAGGTGAGCGTCTACTTCTGATTTTGGAGTGATCATTTCTTTCACTGTGTTGAGATTTTAAAATACTGCATTATGATGTAGGACATAGGCAGTGATTGAATTCTACTTATAATAAACTTTTTTTTTTTTTTTTTACAATTGAAAGTCACATTTTACATTATTTAGGACGGCCCCCTCATTTTGCAGAGCTTCCTTTGTCTTGCCTGGTATAGAAATACTAGGTATTGCCTTTTTGTGTGTGAGAATAAGCTAACTTCTTTTTGTAATCAGGAACACTACAAAAAAAGGGAAAGTTGGAGTGAAAATTCAGAAGTCTTCTTTCTTTTGTTAGAATAGATACTGTTCTCCTTTTCTGAGTTCCAAGTAGGACAGAGAATTTGCTACTATTTATTTTGTGAACTACTTCTGTATTATAACTCTTGTTATGATTCTTCTTACTCCATTTGATTTAGCAGTCTCTTAAAAAACCTTGGTATTTAGTTTATTTATTTTCTGTTGGTGTTGACTTGCAGTATTGTGTTAGTTTCAGGTGTACCAAAAAAAAAAAAAGGCCACTTAAAACAAGTAGCATATCAGAGACATGGTGTGATGGAAACAGCTTTAGCCTCAGAAGATTCTGGACTTTAGGTGTGGTACTCATTTACTGTGGCATCTTGGGAGAAGATCTGACTCCTCAGTTCTTCCTTTTCTCTGACCCCCTTGTCCTTTTCAAGGGCACTGTACAGATGA